GTCTCCAAACAACGCAGTCCTCCATTTTTTCCGCTTTTCCTTAGCTTGCTAACTCCCTTTTTTCTATTTGCTTTGGAAGCCAATAGAATAGACTCTCTTGAATAGAGTCTAATTCTATTGGCTTTCAAAGCCAATAGGAATTGTCCAGGCTGTCTCTGCCTGCTGACCCGCCAAAGTCCCATTCGGCAAACGGTGCGGCACCAGTTGAGTAGTCCTCAACTTACGACCGGTTTGGGGTAGCGGCAATTAAAAAAGGTTGAAGAACCCTGATTTAAGCAAAAACAGACAAAGAAAACTTAATAAGATACAGGGCCTAGCTGGTTTCCTATTCTGCCCAAGCATCAGATTTCTAAACCATAAGGTTCTCTGCCTCATTCATCTGGATTTCCCTCCGATTTTAAAGGGAGCTTCTCCTGGGATTACGATGCTGCTGAAATGCTCACCTTGACTTTACAGACTCTGCTTGAGGGATCCTTCCGGTTTCCAAGGATCCGATCTTCTGCATCTTCGCTGGATTGACATTGAACGGCTCCTTTTACCCTGTTAGGTAGAAGTAGGCAACCTCGGCTTCTTTTATGACTCGTGACTTCAACTCCCAGAATTCCTGAGCCGGCACGGCGCAGCTTGGAACCTCTCTCCTTTCCCCTCAGCAGGGCTGGGCTCAGGATACCTGGGAGTTGAAGTCCACGAGTCCACTAAAAGAGCCAAGGCTGCCTACCTCGAGCCTAGTCCGCTTTATGACTGTGGACACTTCAACAACCCAGAATTCCTGAGCTGGCATGGCCTCAGCTTGGAAACCTCTTCCTTTCCCCCTCAGCTGCGGGCTCAGGGATTCTGGGAGTTGAAGTCCCGAGTCATAAAAGAGCCAAAGGTTGCCTCATTCCCTGCCGTGGTAGGCTGATTACAGCTTCTCTCTGGGGTCCCTTGCAAGTGTGCTCGAATGCAAGGCCGGACAAAGGCAACAGGGCAAAGGCTAACATTAGCTTTTGAGGGTGAAGAGGAACCAAGAAACCTCCTGATTCCCTGGGGAAGCTGTGGGTGCCGAAATCCCGAGATGGCTTCCACCCCTGAGGAATCCCAGGGATGGGAACTCATGGCTGTCCACAAAGCTTCTCCTGGAGTATAGAAATTTTGGAATTCGGGCAGCCAGTGACTAAAATATTCTCAAGCAAGGAAGCAAGTGATGGATGAAATTGCTTCGGAATATAGAGCTGTGGTCGTTGGGGGAGGAGGGGGACTTCACTCCCAGGATTCCCCAACCAGCCATGCCCTAACCCAGTGATGCAACCTTTTAGAGACGAGCGCCCAAACTGCAACCGCAAACCACTTATTTTATCGCAAAGGGCCAACACGCAATTTAATCTCAGAATACTGAGGTTTTAGTTTAGAAAAAAAAACAATTCACACACATTACATCTTTGTCTTCGAAGAAAAACACAATGACAAAGCTTTCAATGATACAAACAACTTTTTACTAAAGGTAAAAAGTTTGGCATTTGGCATGCTTTTGAACAATTAATGTGATTTTTTGCTGTTGTATGCATGCTGAAATTTTGTCTAACCAAGCTCATACTTTGTAAGTTTGGAGAGCAAACATGCAGCACTCAGGTCCTCTGTTAGTCTGTTTCTGGCATCAGATTTGATATAATTCAAACCTGAAAATAGCACGCTCACTCCGGAGGCTTGTTTTGTCTAGAAGGGGCTTGAGAAATGGCTTTTTTCCTGCAAAAACCTAGCAAAGAGCGGGCGCGCTTGCCCACCAGAGAGGGCTCTGAGTGCCCCTCTGGCACGTGTGCCATAGGTTCGCCAACACTGACCTACATCTGTTGTAAATCGTGTTCTTCAAACAGGGCAAGGGGTGAGTTGACTCACGCCCTTTAAACTTGCTGAGAATGAGAAGGTGGACTAGGTCAGTAGTGGCGAACCTATGGCACACATGCCAGAGGGGGCACTCGGAGCCTTTCTGGGGCATGCATGCCTCACTCTTTGGCTAAGGTTTTTGCAGGAAAAAGCCATTCTCAAGCCCCTTCCCTAGACAAAACAAAGCCTCCGGAGCGAGCATGCTGTTTCAGCTTTGAATTATATCAAATCTGAACCAGAAAACAGACTAAACAGAGGGACCGAGTGCTGCCTATGTTGCTCCAAACTACAAAGTATGAGCTTGGTTAGACAAATTATTAGCATGCATACAACAGCAAAAATCACATTAATTGTTCAAAAGCATGCCAAATGCCCAAAACTTTTTACCTTTCAGTAAAAAGTTTTCTATCATTGAAAGCTTTGTCATTGTTTTTTTTTTAAGACAAAAGATGTAATGTTATAGTTGTTTTTTTCTAAACTAAAAACCTCAGTATTCTGATTAAATTGCGTGTTGGCCCCTTTGCGATAAATAAGTGTATTTGCGGTTGCAGTTTGGGCGCTCGTGTCCTCTAAAAGGTTCCGCCATCACTGGTCTACAGTAGTGTCCACAATTGTGGAACCCTTTTTGGGAAAATGTATTTTGAGGTTTGATGGCTTAATAACACCACTTTTTTTGGGTAGTACCATCAAAATTATATATCAAATGGAAAGATAATTTAATCAAGAATGTAATGCAGCAAAGTTTGTTCACTATCTGTGCTCTATTCTATGAAAAGTTATAGCCAAATAACCAAAAAAGGAAGCACAACTTGCTTAGGTTAGATCTCAGGTAGCTTCCTTATCCGACTGTAGCCAATGAGCTTGAGCGTTTAGAGAGCCAATCGGTGTCATCTTGTTTTGGCAATGATCCAATCAGATCACAGTAGGATTCAGTGATTGATGTCCTTGTATTGAAGCCTGAGAGGAGGACATTGGTCAGTGTGTTTATGTGATGGCTATCAAGTTGGTGGGTTTTTGAGTTCTTTCATTGAGTGAGCTTGTAAAAAAACGTAATAAAATTGAAGTCCATGGTGGCAAAGAGTTGACTGGTCGCGCCAGAAAGCGATGTTAAAATAGTATTATAAGTGAAAAGGCTACAGTTATAAAGAATGATAAGAAAAAATGGGTGGGAACTTAACCAAAAGGTGGCATTTCTACTGTACACTTTTCCCAAAAGGTTTTCCACAATTTGGCCACTACTGTTAGGCTACGTATCTGCAGGGAAATTTGCTAAATGGGCCTTCTTCTGGAGCTGTGTGGATAGCTTCTTTCTTGCAGAAGGAGATTTGCAGAATCAACTGATCCAGCATCAAGTTCTCTTATGCTTGAAATGGGAAATGGGTTGACAATGGCCAAGAGGCGGGGAAAAGCATTCAGCAAACGATGGTGGGGTGGGTCCTGCGTCTCAGCCATTCAAGAAATTGCAGGATTGGATTTCCTTATCATGTTAGTATATGTGAGCTTCGTTCGCTCCAAGCCCCTCCCGTGCTGAACAAACAATAAGTTCTCTTTGGGGGAGGGGGGGGGAACGAGTAACTTTAAGAAATAAAATCAGGATTGTAACGCTGACCTGGTCTCCTCGGTTTAAATAGTTTTCACGATATAATCAATGGTAAATGGTGTCTGAGGTTTTGTTTTAAAGGAAATACACGCCTTAATTGTACTGCTTAAAGACAATATTGCATCAGAAAGATTCATTTAAATACTTTTGGCTCCAGGCTTCACATTCATTCATGGCTGATTTTTTCTCTGGACTTGTTTCGAATGCCGAAAACATAAAAAAAAAAAATCATCCCTTGCTGGATCACACATGCGTCCCAAAGCTTTACTTTTATTCAGAAATCTCCTCTGCCAACAAACTCGCTTCCTCTTTATTGTATGTGTAAGTTGCACTACGCCACATTTACGTGCCTGAAATGTGGCAGAGATTAACAAAAGGCGCCAGTTTTTCCGGGATAAATAGTCATTCGAACGAGGGAGCTGATGGAGGAGACCGACAGCGCGAGAAAACTCCGTGCACAGACTCGTTGCAACCCACCGATCTGTGTAAAGGCCGCATGCGGAACGGCACATACAAACGGTTTTTGGGACCACATGGCTGGCCTGTCCTGAGTGGGCAACTGAATTCAGCTGCCGAGCCCCCCAATTGAGAAAGCTATGGGAACAAGCACACTTGGGGGGCAGGCACTTGGAAACCCCGCAAGAGATAACAGCAATGATGGACCGTCTTGTGCTTAAAGAAAGATGGATGCTGCTGGGTGAATTTATCACACATGTTTCCTTCTTTGCCTTCCAACAAAGGTCCTCCACTTTACCATAAGTATGAATGTTGCGTTTGTTTTATTTTTGAGACACAACACACGGTTGAACCTAAGTCCTCTTTGCTTTATAATGATGATGATGATGATAATGTTGGAAGGACTGGAAGGTCATCTAGTCCAACCCCCTGCTCAGGCAGGAACCTTATACTCATTTCAGACAAATGGCCTGTCAGTCTCTTCTTAAAACTTCCATTGTTGGGGAGCAATTCACCGCTTCTGGAGGCAGTTGTTCCATTGGTTAATGTTTTCGACTGTCAGGAAGTTTTCTCTCCTTAGTTTATAGTTCTTCTCTCCTTGTAGTTTCCTCCGTTGCTTCTTGACGCTCCTCAGGCTCCTTGAGAATAAGCTGCTCCCTCTTCTTTGGGCAGCCCTGAGATACTGAAGGCTGCTATCCTGTCCCCCCCAGATCTCCATTATAACTTTGTCATACCCAATTCCAAGCAACCGTTCCTTGTATGTTTTAAGCCTCCATTTGCCCCTTAAGGCGCCACAGGCTCGGTTTTGCTAGATCGCCCAGAGAGAAGATTGGATCCCTCTGACGTCTCCACTGTCCCTTTTACCAGCCATGGTGGTTAAACGAATCCAGCTTCCCTCTGACAAAAAGTTGTCACCCAACCTGGGGAGCAGATCTGAGAAGGACCTTCCAGCCCTTGAGAGAATAACAGAGAAGAGCCCGAGCCTTTGACTTCATTTCTGAAAAAAAGCGATCAGGCAAATGATAGCATTGCCCTTCCTTATAACCACTCCTGCGTTTTTCTCCCGTTTTGTTCTTCTTAACAGAAAGTGGTAGAGCTCGTCATCCCGCACAGACCCCCTTGCCTGCCACCCTTGGAAGAAGGCTTACCCATGACAATCTACTCCAACTACGTAGCTCTGACTCCAGGGGATGAGGAGAGGAGGAAGAGGAGGCGACCAGGTAAGCGGCAGGTTCTGGAAGGAAGGAACAAAATGTCAAAAAATGCCGTCTTGCCTTTCGAGCACTTTCATTCCTGGCTTGTGGTCCCAGCAGACAGGTTTGGCGGCCTTAAACTGAGAGGTTGCCTAATTCTTCCCCTTCCCCCGTGAAGCTTTGCGGCCCTCTGAGCCAAAGAGGTCCTTGCCCAAGCCTGGGCATCTCTCAGCCCGAAGATATGCCCCTTGGGATCCTTGCATCCCTCACTCCATTCACAGATGCATTCTCATCTCCCCCCCTCCTCTCTCTCCCTCTCTCCTTTCTTACCTATCTCTCTCTCTCTTCTCTCTCTCCCTCTCTCTTTCCCTCTCTCTCCCTCGCCTCCCTCTCTTCTCTCTCTCCTTTCGCCCTCTTCTCTCTCCGTCTCTCTCCCTCTCTTCCTCTCTCTACCTCTCTCCCTCTCTTCTCTCCTCCCTCTCTCCTCCCTCTCTCCTCTCTTCCTCTCTCTCTCCCTTTCTCTCCCGCTCTTCTCTCTCTCCCTCTCTCTCCCTCTTCTCTCTCCCTCTCGTCCCTCTCTTGTTTTCCCCTCTCTCTCCTCTCTCCCTCTCCTCTCTTCTTCTCTCTCTCTCCCCTCCCTTCTCTCTCTCACTCTCCACTCTCCCTCTCTCTCCCTCCTCTCTTCTTCTCTCTCTCTCCTTTTTCTCCCCCTCTCTCACCTCTCCAAAAGAGTCTCTCCAACCCTCTCTCCCTCCTCTCTAATATCTCCCTCCCTCTCTTCCCCCTCTTTCCCCCCTCTCTCTCTCCCTCTCTATCTCTCTCCTTCTCTTTCTCTCTCTCTCCCTCTCTCTCCCCCTCTCCCTCTCTCTCTCCCTCCCTCTCTCTCCCTCTCTTCCTCTCTCTCCCTCTCTCCCTCTCTTCTTCTCTCTCCCTCCTTCTCTCTTCCTCTCTCTATCTCTCTCTCCCTCTCTCCCCCTCTCCCTCTCTCTCTCTCCCTCCCTCTCTCTCCCTCTCTTCCTCTCTCTCCCTCTCTCTTCTTCTCTCTCCCTCCTTCTCTCTTCCTCTCTCTATCTCTCCCTCCCCCTCTCTCTCTCTCTCTCTCAAACACACACACACACACACACAGAGAGCCCTGATCTTTCCTGCTTCTGCCAAAGACTGGACTAAGGCAGGGAATTTGAGAGGATTTCCTACCATGAGTGACAGCAGCAACCCTATCAGCCATTCCCTCTTGTCCTGCTAAAGAAGGCTGAGCATCTCGGTGGGGAAAAGTTGGGGGTCTTCAGCTTCCCTTTTCTGTGGCTGGAGGAGGGGGGACACGAGCGGCTCCATCTGCTCTAGCCGGCCATTCACCCTTGTGACAAGACGGTTCGCTCGGCAAGCAATTGCCTGCCCTCTTTTAGGAACCAGAAAGCATTCCTGCAGAAAAGCCAGCTGAAGAACAAGGGACTGTGGATCCTTTGATGGGCTACACCGTGGAGGACATTCGCTCGGTTCTGGGCCAGCTCACCAACGACTTCATCAGCAACATCCAGGTAGGGTTACAAAGAAGCTCAGCTTGACTTTGTTCTGCTTTCATGCTGTGCCCCACAATGGGATGGATCCCTTTGCTAGGGCAAACTGAACATGGTCGACCACAACAGAGGCTGGTGTGCTGCTCTTCCCAAACATGAGTTTCGTTACCCCAGACCAGGGGTAGGCAACCTTGGCTCTTTTATGACTCGTGGACTTCAGCGCCCAGAATTCCTGAGCCAGCATGGCTCAGCTTGGAAACCACTCCCTTTCTCCTCAGCATGGCTGGCTCAGGAATTCTGGGAGTTGAAGTCCACTAGTCATAAAAGAGCTGAGGTGGCCTACCCCTGTGGTAGGCCCATCATTGGTGAGGTCCTTGAGCTAATTCAGCTCTCTGTGCATTGCCCCTGGACCGCCTGTTTCTACAGACCCTTGATCGTCAACCACAACTCCTTGCCCACCATCTGGGGCAGGGGTAGGCCACCTTGGCTCTTTTATGACTTGTGGACTTCAACTCCCAGAATTCCTCAGCCGGCATGGCTCAGCTTGGAAACCTTTCCCTTTCTCCTCAGCATGGCTGGCTCAGGAATTCTGGGAATTGAAGTCCACGAGTCATAAAAGAGCCAAGGTTGCCTACCCCTGCCCCAGACCATATGGGGAAATGCCTGTGAAGCGGCAGCAGCATGGAAGCCCTCTCCGATGCAGCTTCGTATGCAGTCGAGGCAGCAAAGGAGCCTTTTGCGGATCATTCCTTCCTCTGAGCCAGCAGAGGGGACAGCCCCAATGGGAAAGTACAGAAAGTGGGGTGAAGCAGAGGGTCTCCCCTAACTTCTCGCTCCATCTGCAGTGCTCTGAAGCCAGAGTCCTTGCCTAGGGACTCCCCACCAGTAAGCAGTTTGAGCGAAGATCACTTCCATTCAATTAAAGCAGTGGTTCTCAACCTTTTTAATGCTGCGACCCCCAACCGGTTGTAAGTCGAGGACTACTCAACCGGTCGTAAGTCGAGGACTGCTCAACTGGTGCAGCACCGTTTGCAGAATGGGACTTTTGGCGGGCTCAGCAGGGCAGAGACAGCCTGGACAATTCCTATTGGCTTTTGAAAGCCAATAGAATTAGACTCTATTCAAGAGAGTCTATTCTATTGGCTTTCAAAAGCCAATAGAATAAAAGGGAGTAGCACAGCTAAGGAAAAGGGGGAAAAAATGGCGGACTGCGTTGTTTGGCGACCCCCGTGAAATGGTCGTTCGACCCCAAATGGGGTCCCCACCCACAGGTTGAGAACCACTGAATTAAAGTTTCATGTTTGCAGATTTTGGCTGTTCTGATACCTATTGTGGATTATATCTGGAAATCCATGTGGAATGACCTGGTAACAACCCCATGAAAATACCACTTCCGGCCGGGAAGGAATGCCGGTTTAGTTCCCTTTTTTTTTTTTTTTTTTTACTGTGCCTTTTATTGCAAATTGAGCTGTTGAACAATAAAAAAAAGAAATGAGAAGAAAGATGAAACAAGAAAAAGTCGTGCTGAAAAGCCTTTTTGCACTCGGGAGAGCTGAAATGTTTAAGAGTGATTAAACGGGGGCACTAAAGAATCCTGGGAAAGTTTACGTTCCGCGCGAGGGTCGCCCTCGTCTTTGCTAAACCTGCCACGACGGACGGACAGATGCCTTCCCTTGCAGTTTCTCGTATTTTCCATTTGTAAATTCCGTTTAGCCTATTCCCACACAGAAGTTCAAGAATATTTGCTAAGCTTACAGTACAATTTGTGGGCTTGTGCACATTCCTCCAAAGCAGCGGTTCTCAACCTTTTTAATGCCGCGACCCCCAACCGGTCGTAAGTCGAGGACTACTCAACCGGTCGTAAGTCGAGGACTACTCAACGGGTGCAGCACTGTTTGCAGACTGGGACTTTTGGCGGGCTCAGCAGGGCAGAGACAGCCTGGACAATCCCTATTGGCTTTTGAAAGCCAATAGAATTAAACTCTATTCAAGAGAGTCTATTCTATTGGCTTTCAAAAGCCAATAGAATAAAAGGGAGTAGCACAGCTAAGGAAAAGGGGGGGAAAATGGCGGACTGCGTTGTTTGGCGACCCCCGTGAAATGGTCGTTCGACCCCAAATGGGGTCCCCACCCACAGGTTGAGAACCACTGCTCCAAAGGAAACGTGAAGTTGTTCATCGTTTTCCTTAATGGGCGTGCTTTTTGCAGGTTTCCTCCGCCTTTGAATTAGGCAGCTGTGTAACTCCTGGCAGAGACGGAGGGATTCCGGAAGGCAGCCAGGTGTCCGGATAGTGTGCAAGTGGGGAGCTGGAGAGCCCCCTTTCCTGAGGCCAAAAGCCACTTTCTCCCCACCCCAGATGCCCTCTCTGCCTGCACAGCCCTAGGCTACGGAGCTTGGGGAAACCCAGCCTGTTAGCTTGGTTGACCCATCTGTGAACATCCGCAGCAAAATTTTTGTATTCTGATTCTTCTTTCTAGGATGTTTACTAGCAATTAAGCTTTAGTTAAAAGAGACCGGCACTTAAGTCGCTTTTTTCCCCTGGAGTTTCGTTTCACTTCCAGTTGGGTCTTCAGAATGCCATAGTTTTTTTTTTTCCCCTCCACAAAACGAAACTCCACAGCAAAGGAAAGAGAACACAGTTAACCTGTAGTACAGACATGTCAAACACAAGGCCCGGGGGCCAGATGCGGCCCGCGAAGTGGTTTCATGCGGCCCACGAAGCCATCCTGGAAACAGTGAGGGAACGGCCCCCGCTGCCTTGGCCCTGGCCCAGACCAGCCGGGAGCCAATGTACAATTTTGTGATGGTCATCTTGGCACTTGCCCTGGTGGACCATGCGAGGAACCAGCCCCTGCCACGTCAGCCCTGCCCCCTGGGTGCATGCTAGGGAGGTGTCACCCTTTGTGAGGAATGAAGAAATGGACCATGCCTTGGCGCTTGCCCCGGTCCCAGCCCCTTCTGCCAGAGACCCTCAGATCTGTCCCACTCCTGCCCAGGCCCCCACAGGCACCCTTGATGTAGAGCTGGCCATGCCCACCCAGTAGGCCACACCCACTCCATCCACGCCCACCCAGTAGGCCGTACCCACCCTGGCCACACCCACCCAGCCTCCCCGAGGGCAACCGCAATGCTGATACAGCCCTCAATGAAATTGAGTTTGACACCCCTGCTGTAGTATATTGAACAATATCAGCCTTCCCAGCTTGTGACTTCAGACCTACTGGAGCGAGGCTCTGGCAACTGTGTGCTGGGCAAGGAAGACAGGAATTTTATCCAACATATCTGTACAATCTCCATTTTAGGAAGGTCAGGCCATCTGCCTCACACACACACACACACACACACACACACACACACACACACACACCCTCCCAGGAAGATGACCCATGTTCTGCAAGCACAGGTTGAGTTGTTCAAACACCGGGAAGCTGGGAGGCATTTGCGCTCCTGGAGTTCAAAGAGAGCTGAGCCTACTCAGGGTTGGGGCAAAGGAAGCTTGGATGGCTGCAGAAGAAGAGAATTGATGGGGTGGCTGTCCTGCCCCACTGAAGCTGCAGGGTTTTTATAGCCTCGCCCTTCTTCCAAAGAGGGAGAGCAACCTGTGGGCTAACCAAGGCCAGCTAACACCATACGGTCAGTAGTATGTTTTGGATGTAATGCGAGCGAGATAAAAGAGACCGAAGATTACAGAGTTGATAAACCTTCTTCTTCATAGTCTGAGATCTACGAGAAGCTCCAAGTGCAAGAAGACACTTATTCAGCAAGAATAGAGAAGCTGAAGAAAGCCTGAAGCCGTCAGAACAGTGGACCGAAGGTAGGATTTTACACAGAGCAATCCTTTGGATTTTGTTGGTAAAGGAAGCAGTGGTGGGCTTCAGTCGGTTCGCACCACTTCGGCAGAACCAGGAGCTAATTTTTTGTGGCCCAGGCCCAGAATGGACTTCTGGAAGTGGCATTCACATAGAGAACGGTTGTTTGTATATTTGAATCCCACCACTGAAGGGAAGCATAATTTAGGCAGGACACCCACCCCCCACACAACTGGGAATCGATCCATTTTCTCCCTCTAGAGCTGGACTGGATAGCAAGATCTTGAAAGCTAGAGAGCCGTGAGCTCTCCTTTAAAACAATCCCTAATTTTCATACCTCTTTTCTAAGCTAATCTATATCAGATCTGTGATGGTCAGAGTATATAGCTATCTTAGGAATTAAGAACTGTACCCATAAGGGATAGCTTTCTGGGTAATGTAGTTTAAGTTACCTGGTCATATCTGTGATTGGAATGGCCACTGGGAGGGACTTCTGATTAGGTACCGGATTTCCTGGCTATGTGCCAGCCAGCGAGGTCTTTATGAATTCCAGCTACGAGATCTGTTTGCTTGGATCTTTTTTTTAACCTACCTGTTGGGTCCAGATTATGACCTGTATTTCAGAAGAATCTCTACAGCAGACATGTCAAACACAAGGCCCGGGGGCCGGATGTGGCCCGCGAAGCCATCCTGGAAACAGTGAGGGAACGGCCCCTGCTGCCTTGGCCCTGGCCCAGGCCGGCCGGGAGCCAATGTACAATTTTGTGATGGTCATCTTGGCACTTGCCCTGGTGGACCATGCCTTGGTGCTTGCCCCGGTCCCACCCCCTTCTGCCAGAGACCCTCAAATCTGTCCCACTCCTGCCCAGGCCCCCACAAGCACCCTTGACGCGAATGATGTAGAACTGGTCACGCCCACCCAGTAGGCCACACCCATTCCATCCACGCCCACCCAGTAGGCCGCACCCACCCTGGCCACACCCACCTGCCCCCCCAAGGGCAACCGCAATGCTGATGCAGCCCTCAGTGAAATTGAGTTTGACACCCCTGCTCTGCCCCCCCCGTATAACCGCAATGCTGATGCAGCCCTCAGTGAAATTGAGTTTGACACCCCTGCTCTGCATACCGTATATTCCGGAGTATAGGGTGACCTGGTGTATAAGACGACTCCTGCCCAGGCCCCCACAAGCACCCTTGACGCGAATGATGTAGAACTGGTCACGCCCACCCAGTAGGCCACACCCATTCCATCCACGCCCACCCAGTAGGCCGCACCCACCCTGGCCACACCCACCTGCCCCCCCAAGGGCAACCGCAATGCTGATGCAGCCCTCAGTGAAATTGAGTTTGACACCCCTGCTCTGCATACCGTATATTCCGGAGTATAGGGTGACCTGGTGTATAAGACGACCCCTGAGTTCGACGCCGGGTCGCAAGACAATCGACGCCAAGTCGCAAGACAATCAACGTCAAGTCGCAAGACAATCAACGTCAAGTCGCAAGACGATCGACGCTGAGTTGCATGCCTAGAAAGTCATCTTATACGCTGGAAACTACGTTATTTCTGGCATATAAGACGATCGACGCCAAGTCGCATGCCTAGAAAGTCGTCTTATACGCCAGAAACTACCTTATTTCCAATATATAAGACGACTCGGCGTATAAGACGACCCCCGAGTTCGGAGGCTGTTTCAATGCTCTCAAAAATCGTCTTATACGCCGGAACATACGGTAACTGTAAGTTAATGTGTGGAGAATGCCTGGTGAATTAAAGTAATCTGCATGAAGCCTTTCCATGGAGTTCATCTGCCTGTATCAAGTAATATCTATCCTTGCTGGATACAGAACAACATCTGTGAAGCTTCTCCTTCAATGTAGGTTGGTGGAAGATGTTGAAGGACTCAGGTGTGAGTTTTTATATTGTAGGGACAGTAAGCCAATGTGTCCTTGGTTGTTAGAGGTTTATCTCCTTTCTGTGAATTCTTCTGCTCGTCACAAGCTAGCCAAGCCTGAGACGGCTGCTTGAACCCCTGCATGGAGAGAGGGACAGAAGACAGGATCAGGGCA